CTTGCAACTGGTAAACCTTGGCATAATGCCTTTGCTCAGGATAGGTAGTTTTGGCCTGTTCCCAGATCTCATTAGCGGTGTCTGCCCACATAAAGTTCTTCTTCACATCAGGTTCCATGGCTGCAAGGAGCCAAGACATCACCATACTTTTTCTTGGTCCCACCTATCATGTTCAGCTGTCTCACTCTTGGATTCTTTCACCCTTCTATTTATGTAACCAGCTTTTCCCCTTGCCGTTACATAAAGTTTTACACTTTTAGCCCACTCCAGGTAGTTTAGACCATTTTAAGGGGTAATGGGCATGGGAAACATCATGTTTTCACCTCCCAAATCCCACACAACTACACAACAGCCACAAACAGAATACCAACCCTCAAGAAATTTACTTCTGGGATGTGGAAAAGACAACAAAAAACTGCTGAAATCAACTCTGTGATGGTTCAGTCATTAAACCAGCCCGGTAATCAGTCCAACACCAGCCAAGGCAGACGTTAGAATAGTATACTATCAGTCCGACTACAGCCCATACAGTCTAACAATCTAGCATCTAAACGAATGTATAGAACCAAGGAATAAGGCCTTCACACCATTGGCCAAAAACAAAAAAACAAGAACACATACCCTATCCAGCACCTGTACGAAGGTGCCAACCAGAAACTGACTTCACAACATCGAACAGAAAAGAAGGGGAGTCTCTTTCTGCATCGCCCTCTTCGACTAGGGTTTCCTTGATATTACGACCAAGGAAGAACCCAAAGGAAGAGCCGCAAGTAGTCTGCTAGGGTTTCTCAGTCTTCCACGTCCAAGAAATCAAAGAAGGAAAAGAGGACGAAGCAGGTTCTAATAGGAGAGACCGGAATTCTATTATAGCCAGAACCTTGCTATGATACCATGTAATCATTCATGGAGAGAGAGAGACGAGAGAGAGAAAGAGAAGAAGAGGAAGATACGATTGAGAGAAAAAGAAAACCTACTCCTGGCTGCCGCTAGTTCATTATTTATATTAACTTAATATAAAAGAATGGAAATTACAAGTATGCCCCTAGCGGCACTCCTTAGAAACAAACTAATAAGAGAGAGAAAATAACTAACTGACAACATCTTAAGAGGACAACCCACTAACAACAACTATAAAATAACAATTAAATAATCCTCACAACACTTACTAAATGCTCAGATACTGGTGTGGACATGGACATGGGCACACAAGAAGGGGATGCAACTCTCCATTTCTTCATATCTAGGGCATAAATAGGTGTGTTTATATCCTATTTAATATGTGTTTTTTGACCAATGTATAAATTTTATTAAGCATCAAATTATATCCTATTTAATATGTTTATAAGATGAATTTATGTTGATCTTCTTAAGCTAAATACTTTTATGTCTAACTTTTTAAGCTAAGTATTATTTTTAATGTTGCCAAATCTAATTGAACTTCTAACAGGTAAAAAATTTTTTATGGTACCATTTGTTAAATATACTGTTTCACATATTTTGGTACTATTAATGATACAATGTATTCTCTAGAAGTGTTCATGCAGTATCCAATGTTATATTAAGTCTTATTGTGTACCATACCAAGTATCTGGGTAGCATGTATTGCATTTTGCCTTTTTTTTTATCATTGTATTAATTTGCCCCTTTTGCTTTCCTCTTTGGAAGAAGAGTTTATAGCTTACTTTCTCATTTGATCCTTAAAGAAGAATTATTATTAATAAAAAGAAGTTGTTGCATAAGGTGGAGATTGTGTTATAGAAGAAAACATGTTTTATGCATTTGTATTGTATGTCTTACTATATTAAGTTGCTTTGCTAGAGATGGGACTTCAAAGAAATCTAGGCATGAAGACAATCTTGGTGCAAGTATTGATGAAATAATGGAGGTGATGACTTTTGGTATGCGGAGAAAGTCACGTAAGGTATGGTCTTTCCTAGTCAGCACAAGAGTAGGAAAGCCCTAAAATTAGTTTCCAAGAATCAAACTACCATTTGTGAACTCATTTTTAGTATCTAAACATATTTCATTTGAGTTGAAGATGGTTTCTCCTACTGAAATGATTTATTATGTTATTTTCCTGTTGATTGGTAGCAAATATTATGTACAATGAGTAAGAGTCTGTAAGTTATGTACTTGGGTTAGCAAGTTGCTACCTAACCCCATCGCTGGTCAGAGAAAACTAGACTGTTGTCCCCCCCTCCCCCAAATTACAAATGCACTTCTCTGTTCACCCTTGCCTTGCTAGTGATCAGCTATTTTTCTTTTTTTTGATCAATAACAGAACCAATTTCATTAATTAGGAAGGGGAAAAATGGGTACAAGAACAAGGGGAGAGATAAACTCTCTTAGCCCTCCCCATAGAAAGAAGCTATTACAAAACAGCCCAAAACAAACTATCCCTTCCCACCCCTTGTTTAGAAAGAGTGTTAGCAAGTACATTGGCATCCCTTCTCACCCATTTGAAGTTCACCTCCATCCCTTGTCAGCAAGTACATTTTTTAGCATTTGTTTTGTAATTTTGCGCCTTGCTTCAAAAAGGCGCATGCCTCACCCTGCGCCTTGTGCCTTAGGCACAAATTGGCACTTATGCTTTTTTGTGCATTGCGCTTTTAAAACACTGAAAACTCCTAACACACCCCAACACCCATTTGCACCATCTATCTCCAAATTCAAAACTTACCATCACCTCCAACAGAAAGGACCAACCTACCATATCATACGCTTTTTAGATCTAGTTTACATACCACTCTCTTTTTCCTCGACTTTTTTAAATCCTCTACTCTCATTTGCAATTAAAATTTGCTGAGCTATCTGTCTTATCTTATTTTCACAAAAACTTCTTGATTAGGTGCAGTAATAGTAGGGAGAACCCTAAGAGACAACACCTTTGCAATGATCTTGTACAAGCTATTCACTAAGCTAATTAGCCTAAAAATCTATTGGTTGGATAGGATCTCTCTTCTTTGGTACCAAGGCAATGAAAGTGGAATTCAATCTCGAGTTAATTACTCCCCTTCTGTGAAACTTATAAAAAACTAATAGCAAGTATTTTTCCAATACATTCCATCAATCTTGATAGAATGCCATTGTGAAAGCATCCAGGCTTGGAGCTTTTGATCTATCCATAGAAAACACTGTTTCCTTTATTTCCTCCAATTCAAATATTCTTTTTGACCACTCCCTATCCTCTGCTCCTAACCTAGGCCACTCCAACCCTTCTAATCACAACCTATCATTTAAAGGCCTTCTAAAGATAGATTTGAAATTATCCACAAAAGCCCCTGCAATCTCATTTTGTTGGGACAAGGTGTTATGTCCCAGAAACTTTACACACAATTCTCAGACTCACAGCAGAACTCACACAACTCGAACATCAACAAAGAAATTGGTATTCATTTAGAAGAAAAGAAGAACATTAACAGTTGGTCGGTTCTTCGAGAGACCGCCGGCTCTCCCAATCACTCACAGTATTCTTCACTCAACAAAAGC